CAGGGGAGAATCATGCAGCAATAATGAAGGGTCTATTATCATGGATTAGCAGTTTTGAAATGTAATCTGAAACCCAGAATATCATTAGGGTAGCAATAAGAATTTTAAGAAGAAATATATGAAAGTGTTTATTATAGAACTGTCACTGTTGCAGAAACTATATGATATGTGAGGTCCAAGAAGGGTAGTTTGCAGTAACTGTCATAATTATATTCAATATATCTATAATATAGAAGATAGTCAATCATTCCTGTTGAATGAATCATTAAACATATTTACTTCTTAAACGACTTTTGTTCATTTAGGCTTCATGGATAGTATAGCTCATAATCATACCTGTGCTTTTATTTATTTTTTGAATGAGTTTGACTGCAGTCAAAAGTGCTTTTTCCCGTCTGCTGAAGTTACTCGTGAGAACATTACGATCGTGATCTGTGAGTAGCCTGTGTGGGAAACCCACTAGGAATTCTGCTGAACTTTCGAAGTATGGGCGATATAACATGGCCTCAAAAAATTCTATGGCCAGTAGAAAGTCCATAGTGAAGTCTCGTTCAGTTTCAGAAGAATGGAATGATCTAAAGAAATGACACAAAATTAAACACATGAGTAGCAAAATATTTCATTATACATGCAAATTAAAGTCTACATGTGTCTTCTCTCCCGTGTTCCTTAGGGATTTTATGGGATTTATTAAATAGTTGACTGAACTGAGAATACAATTTCAGTAGATTGTAATTAATCCTTACACTATCCTCTACATTGTGCCTGGCTGAAGAATCTATTACATCACAACAGAGACAGCAACACATTGAATCACAATCTTTAAAAATTGTAGCATCCTAAGCAACCCCTCTCTTACTTCCACCAGATTTGTTCTTTTTGATTTCTGATTATATTTCCCCTCTATCTAATTTCTGTGCCACTGATGTCTAACGTCACTTGTTTTCCACGAGCACAGTTCAGGGACAGGGCGCTACGAGCCAATCGAATGAATAGAAGATTGTCTAACTGCAATTTCTGAAAATTCTTCAACAACATATACAATTGATTCATGTTTATTGTGTGTATAAGCTTATATAATTTTTTAATTCATAGGAAATAAGAAATGGACTAGGAATTTGACACAGTAATTGAATAATCTTCTTGAATAGAACGGAACAAGGCTCAAGGCTGAGGGACAAACAAACAGATCAAACAGATGATCAGGGTTACATTTGAGTTCATCTAATTTTAGACTGAAATGGAAGACCCAATTCTTTCTTTCAGTGAACAGCTATAAAAACTGCACAAAATACTAAAAGGACGTTCTTGATATCAGAGAGTAGACAATGATTTTCAGAAATTGTAAGATCAAAATCCAAGAAAAAAAGTATGATGGACTGAAAATTTACATGTTGAAGTTTATATTAAAGAGGAAGAAAGACCAGAGTGCAGACTCTCTCTCTCTCTCCTCTTTTTTCTCCATGTGAGGACAGAACAAGAAGGCAGCCGTCTGCAAGTCAAAAGAGGGCCCTCACCAGAAGTTGAACATGCTAACACCTTAATTCCTAAGTTGTAGCCTCCAGAACTGTGAGAATATAAACTTCTGTGATTTAAGTCACCCAGTCTATGGAATTTGGTTATGGCACCCGAAGTTCACTAATAAGAAGGGAGAACATCTGGAAGTATGATATGTGAGGAGATTTTTCCACCCGAGGCAATGGATGCTTTGAAAGCTGCTGCTCTAATGTTACATGATGAGAAGAGTCTTTGACAAAATTGTGCAACTGAGAGAAGAAACATCAGAGTTAATGAATAACTAAATGGTAGTCTACACACACGCACACACAGACACAAGGGTACAACAAAATACCAAGCCATTGAAGATCATGGAGTAGATTATTTTTTTTAACCAGAAAGAGGCATAAAAGATCAAGGGAAAAATTACACTAAAAATTTTCTATGTTAAGAAGACTTCATTAAAGGAGTGAATCAACAAGCATAAACTGAGAAAAGATACATTCAAGATATATAACTGACAAAGCGTTAATATTTAATTGATGTCAGTTCCTCCAATTTATAAGTGGAAGATAGGAATTTCAATAAAAACTTAAGTCTGGGAACATCACAAAAGAAGCCACCTGTATAGTTTGCTAAATATCAAAAAAACTGCCACCTCATTTAGTAATGTAGGATTTGTAAGTGATTTTCACATTTCGATACTACTGCTCAAAAGAATGGATAAAAGCATGAAAAGTGACCAATATCAAGTATAAGATGGAATATGATTCAAAAGAACCTATCAACACTGCTGAAATGAATATTAATTTCTGTTCAATACAAATTATTGGTCTCTACAAATTATTATATGCCTCTTTGATCCAGAAAATCTCTTCACCAGACATTTAGACATATACCTGCTGAAAGATCAGAAAGAATGTTTGCCTCAAGTGTTTGTGATAGTCAAGAATTAGAAATAACACACTGGTCCTTTTCCAGTAGAATGGCTAATTAAACTATCATATACTAATCTGTCATTCCACAGATATGAAAAAGACAAAATTATTACTGCACACAAGATGGATGACTGATGAAAATTTCAATGCGAGAAATCAATTGCTATTGTGCTATTCCATTCATACAAAGATTGAAAACAAGCAAAAATAATCCATGGGGTTAGAATAGTAGTTCCTTTTGGGTAGAAGGGAAAGAATAGCAAATGAAATGAGGACAGGGGCTGGACCTGGAGTATGGTTAGCTTCTGTTTCTTGCCCTGGGATTGGTAGCATGGGGCTTTTATTTTGTGATAACTCATTATACTGAATACATAGGATCTGTGTACTTCACTGTATACTTGTAATCTGTCAATAAAAAGCTCTTATAATTACCTTTCTTCTCTATTTATGGCATAAGCATTAGAGTGACAGAAATATTTCTTTATACATGTGGAACTCAGTGATAGAAAACATGGTTAATGGACTGTGAACACTAAATTTACTTTTCTAATCTGAATCAATTCAATTAAATTAATGGACTCATTATTTACAATAACCTCACTATTCCTGTTTTGACTATAATGCTTAAAAACCAAAACGCACATAATCTAAAATTGTTCAATTCTCTGAAACGTGATTTTTGAAAAGCTTAAATGAAATAATGCTTGGAACGCACTAGACACTGCTTGATTCACAGAAGCACTCAAAAGAGTCAGTGACTAAAAAAGACAGTAGGGGCTAATATATTGTTACTGTTAAGATGTTTATAAAGTAAGTCTGGAGCAGTTGATTTAAGAAATGTTGATGCAATGGGCATGGCATCACTAAGTCTAAAAAACTGCACAGTGTCAACCTTTATTGTAAATGGGCAAATTTGCCACTAAAAGACATTGGAATAAGCATAAAGTGATGAGGGATGGAGAAAAAAAAGAATCTGCAGTGACAAAGAGGAAAATGTGCTTATTTGCTCAGTCGTGAATGACTCTTGGTGACCCCATGGACTGTAACCCATCAGGTTCCTCTGTCCCTGGGGATTCTCCAGGCAAGAAAACTGGAGTGGGTTGCCATGCCCTCCTCCAGGGTATCTTCCCACCCCAGGGATCAAGCCCAGGTCTCCCACATTGCACGGAAGCCCGAAGAGGAAAACAGCAAGCACTTTTATGAATAGGTGAGAAGATTTTTTGCCAAGACCATTCAGCTTTGAGTATATACTTTTTTGCATTTAAATCCAAATATATTTCACTCACAAAATCAATAAAAAGTACTTTACAAAAGGAAGTTCCCAGAGATATTCACAACTGAAAAGAAGGCTCTCTTCAGGGTTTTCTGAGATTCCATATCTAGGTACTGTTATAGAGATATTCTAGGGGCTTCCCAGGTGGATCAGTGATAAAAAACACAGCTGCCAGAAGTTGCAGGAGACAGGGCTTCAATACCTAGTTTTGGAAGATCCTCTGGAGTAGCAAATGGAAACCCACTCCAGTATTCTTGCCTGGAAATGTCCACAGACAGAGGAACCTGGTAGGCTAAAGTCCATGGGGTTTCAAAGAGTCAGACACGACTGATCACCGGAGCACCCAGAGGTATAAAAACACCAAAAATTCTGCTCAAGGCTGTTTTGGGACAAAAACTCATCTTAGTGACTGAATGTAGATCATTGAAGTCACCACAACTCAACTCAGATTTTTACTAAGAAATAACTCTTTGAATTGAGGAGGTGATGAACAGTACAATAGGCAGGAGCACAGAAGTTGACAATGGGAGTCAAGGATGACGTAGAACCAGGGAGACAAAAAACCTACATGAGAAACAGGAGCAGGACCAGGATCCTGGACTTCTCCCACAAAAAGCCCTTACTTTACAGATACCTAGAGAAAGCTGACCATGCTTAGCAGCAGACTTCATTGTAGTCTTTGTGTATTATTAAATGAAATTTCCTACATTTACCTAGCTGTATGTTAAGCATGTAAGTTTCACATAGTTTATCTTATTCCATTTTTGTCTGTAGAAAAAGAGAAAATGACCTCTCTTAAAGAAATTACTTAAACTATAATGAGAATCAGATAACTAAATGAATCTCATAAAATTACCAAACAATATACTTTGTATTTTAAACCATTTATTCAGGAGGATGAAGGTTGGTGTTGTAAACTGGAATCCAGTGAGAATTTTTTACCACACTATTTGCTTAACTACCTTATATAAACAAGTAGAAATTAATTGCACATTGCATTCATTAAACAATATTGATTGGACATGAAGAATGACTTTGCTATGACATATACTGTCAAAGAATCTATGGAACTTCCCCTCAAAAAACCTGTAAGCAATCACCTATCTTTTCATGAATATCTTCCTTGACAGACCAGCTGACTGATGAATTGCAAATAATAATGGAAAAATTATCTCTTGATACCTTTTGAAGCCATGAGTAATGAATATCTGAGACAACCAAATCTTACATGTTACATTTTACAATTCCAGAAAGAAAGCCAGAGTTTAAATGCACCACATAAAATAATTCTCTTACACATCACTGAACTTTGGTTTTGTCACATCAATGGCAGCTTGATGGGCAGCCCACATCTTAAAGATCGCTGTGTCCTCATCTGTGTCATACTGAGGAATCCCTCCGGTACTGGAAACTTTCTTTCTGGACAGCAGATACTGTAGAATGAGAAGTGATTTACACCAATAAAAGATTTTAAAATACATTTAATTACCAGTGTCAAGAAGTCCTGAAAAAAAGATACTGCAGTACACTCATCTAGCTGATTGGTTACCAATGAAATTTATTTTTAAACTAAAATTGAACACTTAGAGATGTTATTTATCTTAGCCTATTTGCTTTACAGATGGATGCATACTACTTTATTTGCAGACACAGATGTAATTTGGTAACTAGTGCATTAATTTCCAGAAAAATCTTTTATAAATAAAATTACACCAATTTGCTATTAACTATTTAGTAGTATTTCTGGCTACTAATAGGAACAGGACAAGGAGGTAGGGACAAAGCTTTAAACTTAAAATTTCATATGCATATTAATGTGAAGTTTAGTCTATTTTTAAATCATAAGTCCCAACAGAAGAACTTCAATGTCTTCATTCATTCTATCCATAAAAATATCATTGCATTTTTTACCTTATAAAGACTGTTGGCTACATCCATAACTTGTGGATAGGATGCACGGCATTCTTCGACTGAATAACAGAATTTAGATCTGTACTCCTCTCGAGATAGTAACTCTACCTCATATGGCAAATTCCCGAAAAACCCAGATTCTATTGCCGCAAGGAAATTCATGATAACCACATGGTAGTTAATGCCTGTAGAAAAATAGGATGGAGTTATCTGGAGCCATTAACTGTCTATATAGAGTAGGAGTTAACCAAATGACTAATGCTTAATCTATATAATTTCTTTTCTTTATTCTCCAAATCATGTTGAATTATTGGCTCTAGGAAATGCATATGATTATGAAAACTTAGGGTTAATCACAGTCAGGAAAGTTTCCACTGGGGGCACACTCCTAATGCAGTTATTTGTATATGGGTCTACATTCACATACAACTAAATCATCAGTTCCACATTATTTATGTCCTATATTTACTTATCCCTCACATAGGAAATAAAGAATAAGATTTGACTCAGAAAAATGCTCCCTTCAGTTTGGGTATATATGTTGTAACTCTTTAGTCGCTAAGTCCTGTCCAACTCTTTGCAACACCATGGACTGTAACTTACAAGGCTCCACTGTTCATGGGATTTCCCAGGCAAGGATATTGGAGTGGGTTGCCATTTCCTTCTCCATGGGATCTTCCAGACACAAGGATTGAACCTGTGTCTCCTGATTAGGCAGGTGGATTCTTTACCACCAGGGAGGCCCTGGGTATGTATATGTGCGTGTGTGTGTGTGTGTGCATGTGTGTGTTAGACACTCAGTCATGTTCAACTCTTTGCAACCCCATGGACTGCAGCTCGTGAGGCTCCTCTGTCCATGGAATTCTCCAGGCAAGAATAATGAAGTGTGTTGCCATTCCCTTCTCAAAAGGATCTTCCCGACCCAGCTAATGAACTCCGGTCTTCCACATTGTGGGCAGATTCTTTACCATCTGAGGCACTGGGGAAGCCCAGGTATACATGTAGATGCTGCTAAATATACATGTATATGTCACATGTGGAGGTTCTTTGCCTAAATTGTGGAAGAGATTTTGGTTTAATCATCTTGTTCTATCCTCTTAGCTATCTTAGGGATGGTTCTGAAGCCCAACCAATTCTTTTTCCACACAACCTTGAATACATTGTCTCGGTTTTAATTTGGTATTTTTCTTCTGGGCTTTTCTGGTGGCTCAGTGGTAAAGAATCTGTCAGCCATTGCAGATTTAGGTTCCATCCCCATGTTGCAAAGGGACCCCAGAGAAGGAAATGGCAACTCATTCTAGTATTCTTGCCTAGGAAATGACATGGACAGAGGAACAGAGGAACAGAGGACGACAGGGTTGGGCATGACTTAGAGATTAAGCAACAACAATCTTTCTTCTGTTTCTTGCCGTTAACTCATTTCAACCAAGTCCTCACTCTAGTATATTCTGTCTTAGAACTATTTCTCTAATTCTGATTCCTGGCTTCACCTTGTCCACCAGGATTCTGATAGCTCCCAGCCCAGGGTTATTCCTAGGCATACTCCTCAGCTTGGCTTTCATCACAGGCATGAATCTACACCTTCTGTTAACGAAACACATCCCCCACAGTCGTGCTTGACATTCAGAGAACTATTCTGACTGTTAATCTAGCTGTCAAAAAGAAGCAAGGTACTAGTGAAACAAAACATGATGGAGAAGACAAATTAATAGGCATTTCAAGGAATATTTTCAAGAATTTTGATGACAAATCATTTTCTTACTATTTGAAACTTGGTACACTAGTTAAACTCATCCCACTTATTTCTACTCTCTCAGGGGACATTCAACTTTAAAGAATCCAAAATGTGGCACTTTTCTTTTTTATAACAAAAATGGGAGAGTTTCAAGGGGAATAAGATTCTTCAATATGTTTTAATTTCAATTGTATTGTTATGAGTTTCTTCAGTTCAGTTCAGTTCAGTCGCTCAGTTGTGTCCTACTCTTTGCAACCCCATGAATCGCAGCACGCCAGGCCTCTCTGTCCATCACCAACTCACGGAGGTAACTCAAACTCATGCCCTTCGAGTTGGTGATGCCATCCAGCAATCTCATCCTCTGTCAACTCCTTCTCTTCCTGCCCCCAATCCCTCCCAGCATCAGGGTCTTTTCCAATGAGTCAAATCTTCCCATGAGGTGGCCAAAGTACTGGAGTTTCAGTTCAGCATCAGTCCTTCCAATGAACACCCAGTACTGATGTGCTTTAGGATGGACTGGGTGGATCTCCTTGCAGTTCAAGGGACTCTCAAGAGTCTTCTCCAACACCACAGTTCAAAAGCATCAATTCTTCAGCACTCAGCTTTCTTCACCGTCCAACTCTCACATCCATACATGACCCCTGGAAAAACCAGAGCCTTGACCAGATGGACCTTTGTTGGCAAAGTAGTGTCTCTGCTTTTTAATATGCTATCTAGGTTAGTCATACCTTTCCTTCCAAGGAGTTTGCGTCTTTTAATTTCATGACTGCAGTCACCATCTGCAGTGATTTTGGAGCCCCCAAAAATAAAGTCTGACACTATTTCCACTGTCTCCCCATCTATTTCCCATGAAGTGATGGGACCAGACCCCATGATCTTAGTTTTCTGAATGTTAACCTTTAAGCCAACTTTTTCACTCTCGCTTTCACTTTCATCAAGAGGTTTTTCAGTTCCTCTTCACTTTCTGCCATATGGGTGGTGTCATCTGCATATTTGAGTTGATTGATATTTCTCCCAGCAATCCTGATTCCAGCTTGTGCTTCTACCAGCCCAGCGTTTCTCGTGATGTACTCTGCATAAAAGTTAAACAAGCGGGGTGACAATATATAGACTTGACGTACTCCTTTTCCTGTTTGGAACCAGTCTGTTATTCCATGTCCAGTTCTAACTGCGGCTTCCTGACCTGCATCCAGGTTTCTCAAGGGGCAGGTCAGGTGCGCTAGTATTCCCATGTCTTTCAGAATTTCCACAGTTTATTGGGACCACACTGTCGAAGGCTTTGGTGTAGTCAATAAAGCAGAAATAGATGTTTTTCTGGAACTCTCTTGCTTTTTTGATGATCCAGGAGATATTGGCAATTTGATGTCTGGTTCCTCTGCCTTTTCTAAAAATCTTGAACATCTGGAAGTTCACTGTTCATGTATTGCTGAAGCCTTGCTTGGAGAAATTTGAGCATTACTTTACCTGCGTGTGAGATGAGTGCAATTGTGTCATAGTACAAAAATGTCGTAGCATTTTTAGGGATTGCCTTTCTTTGGGTCTGGAATGAAAACTGATCTTTTCCAGCCCTGTATCCACTACTGAGTTTTCCACATTTGCTTGCATATTTCGTGCAGCACTTTCACAGCATCATCTTTCAGGATTTGAAATAGGTCAACTGGAATTCCATCAAGTCCACTCGCTTTGTTCATAGTGATGCTTCCTAAGGCCCACTTGACTTCACATTCCAGGATGTCTGGCTCTAGGTGAGTGATCACATCATTGTGATTATCTGGGTCATGAAGATCTTTTTTGTACAGTTCTTCTGGTAATCTCGCCACCTCTTCTTAATATCTTCTGCTTCTGTTGGGTCCATACCATTTCTGTCCTTTATCGAACCCATCTTTGCCTGAAATGTTCCCTTGATATCTCTAATTTTCTTGAAGAGAGCTCTAGTCTTTCCCATTCTGTTGTTTTCCTTATTTCTTTGCATTGATCACTGAGGAAAGCTTTCTTCTCTCTCCTGGCTCTTCTTTGGAACTCTGCATTCAGATGGGAATTTCTTTCCTTTTCTCCTTTGCTTTTTGCTTCTCTTCTTTTCACAGCTATTTGTAAGGCCTCTTCAGACAACCATTTTGCCTTTTTGCATTTCCTTTCCATGGGGATGGTCTTGATCCCTGTCTCCTGTACAATGCCACGAACCTCCGTGCATAGTTCATCAGGCTCTCTGTCTATCAGATCTAGTCCCTTAAATCTATTTCTCACTTCCACTGTATAGTCATAAGGGATTTGATTTAGGTCATACCTGAATGGTCTAGTGGTTTTCCCTACTTTCTTCAGTTTAAGTCTGACTTTGGCAAAAAGGAGTTCATGATCTGAGCCACAGTTTGCTTCTGGTCTTGTTTTTGCTGACTGTATAGAGTTTCTCCATCTTTGGCTGCAAAGAATAAAATCAATCTGATTTCGATGTTGACCATCTGGTGATGTCCATGTGTAGAGTCTTCTCTTGTGTTGTTGGAAGAGGGTGTTTGCTATGCCCAGTGCGTTCAACTCTATTAGTTTCTTAGTAGTCTCCAATTTCTCTTTGGTAAGGGGCCATTGCTCTGTTCAAATAGATTTGTCATTCTTCCAAGTTATTTTAATAATTGTATTGTTTGTTAAATGAGCAGTGGCCCTTAGGAAAAATGTGGAAAGTGTACTTGAGTTTGTCATAGCATAGGTAAATCTTTTTATTAGATTAAGTGGCTCATTTATCATATAAGGTTGTAATGTTGCAGGCTGGTCTTTTGGTCCTTCACAAGGATAAATTTGAATGTTTTGATAGACTTCTTGTGTTTTTGTTTGAGAAATTTATGTAATTTGGTAAGAAATTTTCTGTATAGGCCAAGATTTAGGCCATAAGAGTTTGAAAATAATAGTGATATTGGATCTAGTATCGAGGAGACCAGAAAAGCTTTTATCATTAATTTAGATATTTATATTGGGTCGGCCATAGTCAGATATCAATGATATCCATTAGAATTGTTTTTGACCTGTATTTTTTAATTCATTTGTCTGTGTATCATTCAGTCAGTTCAGTTGCTCAGTCGTGTCCAACTCTTTGGGACCCCATGAATCGCAGCACGCCAGGCCTCATACGTATAATGATGTATATCATTAGAGGAGTTAATAGAAACATAAGGTAAAAGAAGTAATTGTGCAATTTTGTTTCTTTTTTTCTTTGACTTTTTATAGTATCTGAGATGACATCATAATTTGAATTTTTTTCTTATAATCTGAATTAATTATTTCAGGATGAACAATAATATTTTTAGAAGTCAAGCTAGATTGGCAAAGTAAAAGGTCAAAGGTTTTTGGATGTAGGGGTCTAAAAAGTCTGGGAAGTATTTTAGAAGGGACTGTGTGAGGAAAAAGAAGAAAATCATTTAGGTTTGGTATATCGATGGCAGCACTGCTGGATGTTGAGGTTTAAAGGAAAAGGTGTAGTTTGTCCCTCGTTTTTGTTGATGGGGACCCGGGGAATCCCCAGCTTGGAGTTTCTTGAAATAGGTCTTCTTTCAACATCATATTTAGATTGATATTTTCTGGCCCAATGTATCTCTTTATGGCAATGAGGGCAGATGCTTGGAGGTTTTTTTAATAGTTTTAATAATTTTTTTAAAATGACTTTTGTATGTCTTCTAGGGCAATCTGTTTTTAAATGGGTTTAGTCTCCATATGTAAAATATCTTTATTTATTTATTTTTTTAAAGTAGTAACCATTGGTTTAGTTAACATTTGTATTTTTTGAGTTTTTATTGTTGTTGTTGTTGTTGTTGGAGGCCCCAGTGAGATAGGTTCAGAAAATTAGAAAGTTCCAGATGAAATATAAGAAATAAAAATTGCCATCCAGTGGGTCAGAGATCAATTAATAGATTTACAAAAACAGGCTTTGTTAAAATGTGATTGGAATTCTATTCGATTTTATATTACCACTGTTTGGTTCAACTATAATGCCTACAATTGGGAACAAATCAAATTTCATTTACAAGACTTACATGATAATGCTTACTTAAATATACAATCAGCCTTCTCTAAGAGTTTACCTTTTTCCAGCAATCTGGAAACCTTAGCTGAACAGCTAGCTGATCAATTATCCAGGCTGGACCCTCGAAGATGGTTTCAAAACATTATACATAATATTGGATCTGAAGTTGTAACACTGATAATTATCCTGGTGGTTACATTTGCAGTATACTGATGTCTTTCAACTAAAATTGTTTATTTCTAAACAAACTCATTTGGTCAACACCTTTTTCACTAAAGTTTCTACAGTCACCCCCAATTATGGAAAAATAAAAAAGAGGGAATTGTCAGGGGACATTCAACTTTAAGGAGTCCAATATGTAAGATGCTTTCTTCATTTGTGTGCCATTTCTCAAGGATTCTCTGTTCTTTATCAGTTCCTATTCTGGGAATGAGTAGAGCTGCACGCAGTTCTCAGGACTGAGATCATGGGAAAGGGTACCTGCTTGGACGCCTTTCAGTAACTCCCTTCTGTGACTCTCTTCAGCGTCAGCGACCTTGTAGGTATTAGACTATCCATTTTATTGCAACTGATGGAATTTCGTTCTTTGTAATAGCTGGGTAATCATTTTTACTAAAGATATATAAGCCTGCATTTCTGCTAATAAAATACCCTTGCTCCACTAGAGACCTGGGTCCCCCACGCCCTTCTTTCTGTCTTCATTCTCTTCGGAGTGTGGAAGCCTGCCAAGCTCACTTTCTCACCCTCGCTTTCAAGACCCCCATGAGAAGATGCTCTGTGCCTTCGTGAATGGTACAAGTCCTGTACATGGGCTTTATTGGTTTTCCACATAACCCGGGAGATCCTGCTCGCTCTCTCTCTCTCTCTCTCTCTCTCTCTCTCTCTCTCTCCTTTTCCCTCTTTCTTTTCATTGACTCTGGTCCACCAGGCCCTGGTCTGTAAAGAAGACCACAAGTGGCACCCATAATTGTAACAAATCTTGCCTGGGAACTTGAATCTCAAGACTTGTACCCCTGATTACACAGCAACATTATATCTTACCCAGAGCTGTTATCTGGAATCTGTTCTCCCTGGCTAATCCTGTGCCAAAGTTATCTCAAAATAAATGTCTTGAGAGATATGCTGATTTTTTAGCTAGACTAGAAACTGCTATTTCCTGTAATGTTATCAAAAAAGAGTCCAAAATGCCAAAAAAAAAAAATGCTTACTTATGAAAATACAAATCAGGAATGTCAGAGAGCTATCACTTCAATTTTTGAGACTGGGACTATTATTGATTATTTGAAGGCTTATCACCATTTAGGATATAAAACAACAACAACAACAACAAAATGGATAGTCTAATACCTACAAGGTCGCTGAAGCTGGGAAGAGTCACAGAAGGGAGTTTCTGAAAGGAGTCCAAGCAGATACCCTTTCCCATGATCTCAGTCCTAAGAACTGCACGTAGCTCTACTCACTCCCAAAATAGGAGCTGATGAGGAGCAGAGAATCCTTGAGAAACGGCACACAGAGGAAGAAAAGTGCAGCATGTTGGATTCCTTAAAGTTGAACGTCCCCTGTCACCACTCAGACTTAATTTTAAAATTTGAGTGTATGGTTGTCAATATAAACTTTACCTTGGACTCTCTATACTAGGACTAGAAGAATTTTGCTAATTACCCAATACAATCTTTATGTTGAAATATACGTTTACAAGATCCACTTTTTCAAAACTTTGTAACTAGTGAAGTTTTATTCATCAATAAAACATTAGGAAGAAGCATATATGTTATTACCTATAATGAAATTCACCTTTAAGGTCTAAAACATGTCTTGCAATTTAAACTAAGAACTCATGATCAAGTTTTTGGGTTTTTTGCATATTAGTGGTTTAGGGAGACAAACTAGAACAGTGATTAAGAAAATAAATTTTTGTGATAGAAAAATGTTGATACTTTATAATGAGTTTTATAATAAAAGGGAAATTAGTCTCTCTCAAGTCTGTTTGATCATCTGTATTATGAGGATATTAATTTGAAGATCATGGTGAGAGTTGAATTAAACACTCTCTCTAAAAGGCTAGAGTGAGGGTGGGATGTAGTGAGAAATAAACACTAACTAGTTGGAAAAGGGACTGGGAGTAGGTGAAATAAGCAACAGAAAGTTTGAAAAACTAGGTACATGTAAGGATCATTTTGTTCTTTAGTATCTATCTAAAATGAATGATTTTCTGTAGCTCATAATATAGGCATAGCCATAGAAAAGTTACCACTCATATTTGTTTTTTTTTAAACTGACTAGCCCCCACCCCAGGGAGGTGCACAGAAAATTGTATATACTTAGAGAGTAAATGTCAAGATTTAAGCCAACTTAGCTTACCCTATAGAAAAGCAGAGTGAGCAAGCCCAACAACCCCAGATCAGTAAAGAAACATGGTGAAAATATAACACTTACCTGCCCAGCCACTGTTGATAGATATGCAGCTGGAGACTCCAGACTCATAGGCACACCGTGAACTATTGGGAGGCTCTGAAAATCTACCTACAGAGTAAACAGGGTAGGTGAAAAGAGTTGAACCTTGAATAGAAATTCATAAGAGGAAAAGACTCATATGCGCCCCTCCAAAGAGTAAGAAGAAGGTTATTCCAGCTAATGATATGGTCCATTCATATGAAAAGCTTTTCATTCACTTTGAGGGCTCAAAGGGAAAATATGTTCCTTACCTTAGTTTGTGTGAAACCTCACCCTGGATTTCATAACTAAAAGAAATTTTGTCTTATTTCCTATAATAATCTCATCCCATTAAACGGAGATATCAATAGTATCACATTTATCTGAGAAGCCTGTCAAACTGTGAAAAAAACAAGAGTTTTTTCATCTAGAAGGGGACATTTCTTTTTCAAACAATAAGCTTTTTCAGTTTACAGGAATTTATTTTCAAAGCTGCAGGAATTTATTTTTAAACCAGCAAGTCTGTAAAATGGAAAGCAAAGGTGTGACAAATAACTTTACTAATCAAAAGAAGTATTTGATTAAGTAATATAAAAGCCTGAATACTTAAAGATAAATGATTATATTGACTGCATTGGTTATATTGACTGAATGCCTGAGCATTCAGACAGTAACACTTAAATAGATTAGCTGTAATGCCATTCCTAGCATCAAAGAAAGAGAAAAGCAATTTTCCTTGAGAATAACTCAAATGTACATACCTGTTTTAAATAGCCTTCCGTAAAATAAAGTCAGTGCCCAAAACACATTGCCTGTATTGTTTTTTCCAAATGAAACAAAATATTTGTTTGATTCTGTTATAAGGATCTTATATAATCTTAGTCGATCCATATATTTCCAGGGATCAATGATTATCTTGTTATTCTGCACTGGAAATTCTGCTATGTCCCCATCAGTTTGGTCCCAGAAAGGGGGGTAGATGTCATTTCCATGGGTGGTTGACCCTGGATCTGGGGCCAAGCCCACAGGAAAAAAGCTCAGGAGGAGAAAAGTGGGGATCACCAAAGAAGACCACATCCTCTCACTGTCTGTTCTTCTTAAGGGTAAGTCTCAAACAAAAGCAACTTATATAGCAGATGGGAGGTAGTCCTTGGGCCAACTAGAGAATGATGAATATCTGAGCACATAATACACTGACCAACTAGAGCCTGAATTAATGAGCAAATAAATGAGCATCTGCCAACATAGATTTAGTAATTGAAACTGCTAAAGGCTATTGCAAAACACTACAAATAAATCATTTGCGCAGATAATTTTTGCCAATAGGCAATTATTTAATGTGGTTTAAGTTACCTGAACATTATCAGTTTTTCTAAAACATTGTATTAAATTTAACCCAAATGCTTTCATTGTTTTCCAGTTTTATTGAGAAACAATTGGCATACATCACTGCCTAAATTTAAGCTTAAAGCTTTATAATTTGATCCACACATATTGTAAAATGATTATCACATCAGTATCAGCTATCATTCATCCTCCCACCTAAATACAATAAAAAAGAAAAGAAATAAAAAAGAGAAAACACTTTTCTTGTGATGAGAACTGTTAGGATTTACTGTCTTCACAATTTTTAAATATATTGTATAGCAGTGTTACCTATAGTTATCTTGCTGTACATTACATCCCTAGTACTTATCTTGTAGCTGGAAATTTGTACTTTCTGACCTGCTTCCTTCTGCTCTGGATTGTATGAGTTGTTTGTATATTTTGGATATTAATCGCCTGTTAGATGCATGGGTTGCACATGTTTTTCCCATTGTGCACACTGTCCTCTCACTTTGCTGGTGACTTCTATGTTCAGTCTGGTGCCCTCTCGCTTGTTTATTCTGAGTCATTCCTGCGCTTTCTGTGTGGATTCACAGCAGTGCTGACGGATCTCACGTCGATGCGCTTGCTGCCTGTGGTTTTAGAGTTTCCTTCAAGGAGTTTCATGTTCAAGTATTAGGTTTAAGTCTTTGATTCCTTTTGAGTCAATTTTTATAAGTGTGTAAGATATGGGTCCAGTTTCATCCTTTCACTTATATTTATTCAATGATCCCAATTCTATTTATGGCAGACATTGTCTTTTCTGCATTGAGTGTTCTTGGCTCCCTTGTCAGATCTTAGTCGAGTGATTATGCTTGGGCTTATTTCTGGATTCCCTATTCTGTTCCACTGGCCTATTTTTCTGTTTTTATGTCAGTATCATAAAGTTTTGATGGTTATAGATTTATAGTACAGCTTGAAATCAGGAAGTGTGATACCTTCTGCTTGGTAACTCTTTCTCAGGTCTTTTTCGGCTACTCTACATCTTTTTCAATACAAATTGTAAGAATTTTTTTTTTTGTGCATCTTTCAGGGTTCCATACAAATTGTGGGAATGTTTTTTTTCCCATTTCTGTTAAACAAAACCATTGGAATCCTGATAGGAGTTGCATTGAATTTATAGGTGGCTTTTTTAGGTGTCAACATTTTGACAGCATCATTTCTTCCACCCATGAAAAAAGGGTATCTCTCCATTTATTTATTTGTTCTTTGATTTTGTTCATCAGTGTCATAGTTTTCAGAGTAGAGATCTTTCACCACTTGGGCTAAATTTACTTCTATGCATTTTAATTTTTTATTCTATTATAAACGGGATTGATTCCTTTATTTATTTATTTTTAACTTTGTTGTTGGTGGATAGAGAGGCTACTGATTTTTGTATGTTAATTTTGAGACCCTCAGCTTCACTGAATTCACTGTTTGTATGTGTCTTAGTCTCTGACGTGTAGGATGGGCTTCATCCTCATGTCTGTATTTTAGGATTCTCTCACTGCTGTCTTGTTCCTAAATAGATGTTAGCTCTTCTTCTGACAGAACTGCCTAAGCCCTCCTCTTGGTGATCTCACTCTTCAATACTTTCATTTCTACATAAAAGATGTCTACCAGGTGACGCTAACCCCCACTCCGCCAAAAGAGGGCAAAACCATATTTTTCCCCTTGGGACAGATTAGAAGATGAAACTTAAAGCTTCTTCATGATCCAGAACAGTTTATAACACACTTTTTTGTTGACTTGATAGCTTAGTGGTAGGGAGGAAAGAGAACTAGCATTTATTTACCTCTAACTACTTGCCAGGCCTTTTAAAATTACTATTTTATGTAATTTTACAATTATTTTAATATATATATATATATATATATATATATATATATATATATATATATATATATATATATGTCTTCTTATCACTCTTTTAAAGATTATAAAAACAGGAAAAACAAACAAACAAAAACAGGGCCAAAAAAGACTTAGGCATATTGCTTGGTTCTTACATATGGATAGAAATTATGGTTGTGTCTAAAAAGTAGAGCTTTGTGTAGCATACATGGAAGAGTCTTATCCAATGGTTAATACACTTTCTACTGTATAATGTATCTTCATGAGCAACAGTTGAAAACTAGAAAAAAACTTTTACGTTTAATTTAATATATACATTTTAACTTAAGCTTCAAATCAGTAAAAACGTTTTAGACATCTGATATGCAAAAAAATATTTTCTGCATGCCAAAATTAGTAAAACATGACCAGTACTTGGAGAAAGAGCAATGAATAAAAACAAACACAGAATTGAAAATATATTAGAATTATCAAATAAAAACTGAAAATTAAGAGAAATAAATTTGATTGAATGTATAAAACCAGTCTATGAAACTCAACAAAAAATAAAGACTATAACTGCCAAGGCAGCTTATAACCAAATTATAAATATCAAATCCAATCATAAAGAGAAAATTTAAAAATCAACCAGGACTAAAAAGTCACTGGAAACAAGAAAAGCAAGAGAGCAGTATCTTTAAATCACATAAAAGAAAAAATTACCTGCTTCCATACTCACCAAAAATTTTTTCAAAAAATGAAAGCTACAAAAGACTTTTTAAAACATATAAATTCTAAACCAATACATCATAAATAGATGCTCACTACATGGAATTATTAATGGATGTTCTTCAAGGAGAAGAAAGATGATGCCAGAAAACTACGAGACATAATAACTACATGTTTAAATATATGAGATGTTTTTATTAATATCACTTAACTCTCTAAGAGATTGTTGGCTGTTGAAAATAACAATTTTACTATCGCAGCATTTAAAACGTGTGAAAGTAAAATCTATAACCATAATAGCATAAAATGGAGAAATATCATCCAGTCAAAGATTATAATACATAAAGGAACAAGAAAGAATGCCCCGTTTTGCCACATGGACGTGGGAATTCTAGTCAGAGTAATTAGGAAACAAATAAATAGATAAATAGGTTCCAAAATGGAAAGGAAGAAATAAAATTATCCCCATTCTTTGGTGGTATAGTCTCATATGTGGAATAAGAGAAAGAATCCACAGAAGATTTCCACAAAATAGTTGTTAGAACTAATAAACAGGTTCAGCAAAATCACAGGATATGAAATCAGCAACAAAAATGAGTTATGTTTCTGTGAAGCTACATTAAGCAATCTGAAAAGAAAATTATTTACAATACTATAGAAAGAATAAAATGCTTCTATTATCATGCTCAGTCACTTAGTCATGTTGACTCTTCATGGCCCCATAAACTGTAGCCTGCCAGGCTCCTGTCCATGGAATTTTCCAGGCAAGAATACTGGAGTAGGTGGCCATTTCCTACTCCAGGGGATCTGCCCAACCCATGGATCAAACCCATGTCTCTTCTATCTCCTCCCTTGGCAGGCAGGTTCTTTACAATACAACCTAAAGTCAACTTAAAGAAGCTAAAGACATGTATACTGAAAACCATAAAATGTGCCTGAAAGAAGTTAAAGTAGAGGCAAATAAATGGAAAAATAACTGTGTTCATGAACTGGAAGACTTACTATTATAATGAAGATGTCAAAACTATCCAAAATGATCTATAGAATCCCAATCATGTTTAGTGCAAAAACAGAAAAGTCCATCCTAAAATTTATTTGGAATCTGAAAGGACCTTGACAATCCAAAACAATCTCAACAAAAGAACCAACTTAGAGTCCATATACATCCTGATTTCAAGCCTTATTATAAAGCTATAGTAATCAAAACAGTATGACACTGGGCTTTTGTTTGCTGGAAGATTTCTGATTATAGTTTCGATTTCCTTGCTTGTGATGGCTCTGTCAAGATCTTCCATTTCTTCCTGGTTCAGTTTTGGAAAGGTATTCTTTTCTAAGAATTTGTCCATTTCTTCTAAATTGTCCATTTTATTGGCATAGAGCTGCTGGTAGTAGTCTCTTATGATCCTTTGTATTTCAGTGTTGTCTGTTGTGATCTCTCCATTTTCATTTCTTATTTTGTTACTTTGGTTCTTCTCCCTTTGTTTCTTAATGAGTCTTGCTAATGGTTTGTCAATTTTATTTTTTCAAAAAACCATCTTTTAGCTTTGTTGATTTTTGCTATGGTCTCTTTAGTTTCTTTTGCATTTATTTCTGCCCTAATTTTTAAGATTTCTTTCCTTCTACTAACCCTGGGGTTCTTCATTTCTTCCTTCTCTAATTGCTTTAGGTGTAGAGTTAGGTTATTTATTTGACTTTTTTCTTATTTCTTGAGGTAAGACTGTAATGCTATGAACCTTCCCCTTAGCACTGCTTTTACAGTGTCCCATAGGTTTTGAGTTGTTGTGTTTTCATTTTCATTCATTTCTATGCATATTTTGATTTCTTTTTTGATTTCTTCTATGATTTGTTGGTTATTCAGAAGTGTGTTATTTAGCCTCCTCCATATGTTAGAATTTTTAACAATTTTTTTCCTGTAATTGAGATCTAATCTTACTGCACTGTGGTCAGAAAAGATGACTGGAATGATTTCAATTTTTTTGAACTTTCCAAGACTAGAGTTATGGCCCAGGATTTGATCTATTCTGGAGAAGGTTCCGTGTACACTTGAGAAAAAGCTGAAGTTGATTGTTTTGTGGTGAAATGTCCTATAGATATCAATTAT